GGTGAAAGCACGTGACAATAGATATAACTTTTTTATAATGTAAATTAATAAGTTATGATGAAGGAAGCAGTCTAAAATGCCTTTCAAGGAAGTTCAGAGAGAGATCATGGAGGGCACTTGAGATTTTCCAGGCTCCAAATATGTTTTGATTTCAGATGGTTTTGAATGAAAAAAAAAAGATATGGCAAGCTTCACCTATCCATTTTTATATCAAATATCTTATCTAGAGTAAAGCTGACTTATGAAATCATATCCCCAAGTGGTTTTAATTGAAACACAGGGCACTATTGAAATTAATGGTGTCCCGATGGCCACTGAACACTAAAATCTTGGCCGGGACAACTATAAAGACACTTTGGGACATTTTTGGGACAATAGAAAAATAATCAACTGCAGAATGTCAGCCCTTCTTTTGTTTACCCAAGGCAGAACGTCCTTTGCTTACCAGGCACACATCCTGGCTTTTGGCTCCGGAAATGTCCCCTCAAATTTCCTGTCTACTCTGCAATTATTGTGCGCCGGGGAGTCAGAACGTATAGTAAGTAAAATAATGTTGAAGTCATACAGTACTTCCGAAAAACAGGTTGGGAAAGTTCATCCTCACTTCGGGACAGTTGAAATTTATTTTAGGAAGTGTTGGGACAATAGGAACAAAGGCCTGCATTGGTTGATGTAAAATCAGACTGTGATAACAATTCGGCAAACCCTTTTATGATTTTCAGTCCTCTGTCAGTAACCTATCTAGATGGAATTTTGTTTACACGATTCAACATCTATTTCTGTAGAAAACCTTCTCAGCAACAATTTGACATTTGTTTATGTTTCATGTATATTTAGGATTTATAGCTACCCTTTATTATACACGTAGCTACCTTTCATTTCGACAGTAAGTTAGCACCAATATCTATGCACAGAATGAAAAATGGCCTTGCACTATGTTGACTATTTTGCATCCCTGTTACTACATTTGTAGTTTACTTGGATCCACATGGCATTTTTACCAATGCAGCAAAAGAGAGAGAGAGCGAATTTAGCATGTTGCAAGAGTTTGCTGGAATTTTTATAACCTTCAAGTTCAACACTCAAAAAATATAGTTTGGCTCTCTGCCTACAGTTAGATAACTGCATGAAATGTCAAACCTATTTGAACTGACAGCAGGCACACAAATTTGGACCTGAATCATCTATATATATATACACCGTAACACGTCTGTACATCTATAATCTTTACTCATGTCAGTGTTGCCCCAAAATTTTTATATTTAAAACACGCCATCCACTATTACTAATAACATGCATACATGTATGTAGATATTTTTATATTTCTAGGAAGAATAGACATGTAAGCATGTACACAATCCAGCTTTAGTATGAGTCAGGAATCATAATCGCGATAACCTTTAACGTCCTACCATAGTATATTTGTAACACGAGACCAACTTCAACGGAGGTACGCATGACCAATGGGGTAACGCCACACCAGCCTCATCTGGCAGAATGTCTACCTTCACCCTGACTTCTCCAGCTGCTATGTACTATCTCAGCCCTGGGTAATCCCACTGCCTGACCTCAAACATCCAAGGCATGTCAACATTTCCCCCCCTACCCTACATACTGTGACACTGTCATCTTGCAGAGGTGGTATCCCCCTAACCCCCGGGGACTTACCTTGGTTTTGTACCCTCTTATCCGCTTCAGTCGGTAACTCCTCAACTTCTCGATCTGCCGCGTCATATTCCGTTCGGTTATTTTTGAGCCCAGAGCGCGATATAAAGCGTGGCGACGTAGCTAGGTCATCCCTGAGGCGAAAGGACGCAGGTCCCGTTCAATAACAACTTTTGAGATTAGCGGAAGTAAGATATACCCCCATATAAACCCCACATGTAACCCGATACAATTGGACACTCCCCCTAGTAAAAGATGCGTCAAACGCAAACAACTGTTGCTTCATCTACACAACCAACTAGCTATAGGGTCTACAGTGACAGACGCCCAAATTTACTCACAACAATTTGAATCATGTACATACTTAAGGTTGATGATATCGGCAATATTTCATTTCTGTTTTCTAATCTCATGAGGCTGGCACCCCCTGCCCAAGCTTGGAACGATCCAACTAGATATCCTATTACATCCATCAGCAGAAATTGTCACTTTGAACAATAAGAATGAGCAGAATTCAGGTCGTACCATCTGACTGCATCGTAGGGGGTGCTGCTGCTACACATGAATATTAGCAACAGTTATTGACCCTTCAGCTTTAAGCTTATAGATTCTTATTCATGCAGGGAAATTGCAAAAAATGATCAAAATACTGTTATTTTTTTCATATACAAGTACCTTTCCAATCTCGAACAAGAGAAAAATGGGTAACCTCTAAAATGGAAGCCGGCCACTTAGCACCGAGCTAGAAGTGCCTTTAGCGGTACTCTAAACCATTCCAATTGCCGCTAGCAAACGTGGAGCATTAGAAAGGCTTTCAAGGCACGGTCCTAACAGCTCTAATGCTGATGAGCTGATTACTACATTAGGGAGCTACAGGTGGTGTGTCACCAGAACTAATGGATTTATAGCAGGATGAGAGGAATTTGTGGCTAGAATTCCTGCCAAAGTTCATCAGTATCACTGTGCTGCAGGGCCACCTGTTAACAATGCTGGAAACTGCAGCTATTTCTTTCAAAAGGGAGACAGTGAGATTTTAAAATGTTACAACAGCTGCTGAGCATAAATCATGAACAATATATGCCTACATAATGTAGGAAATCATTTTTTAATCATTGATAAGTACATATATATGCAATTTCTCTTGAGTGAGTGACTTACGGTAATTTGTATGTCAATTACTTTTTAGTATGTTGGGCCAAGGCTAAATAATTGATTCACCAAGTTAGAGTTAGAGAGTCTATTTACATCAATGGGTTTTTTTTCTACCTTAGCAAATTTTGTAGCAATAGTTACACAGGTGTTTCTTTTGGAACAGCAAAGGCTCAGTAACTGTTGACCTATTTGCACTCCCACTTAAAAGCTAAGCTATTTTTCTGAATGGACAAGTTTACATATAGGTCATTGACCCTTTATTGTGAATGTACAATGATGTAGGCCAGGGCCAATCAGGGTTGTTTTCGAGGGTTGTGCTCGAAAGTTAAAATGCTTGTTTTCTCCAGTGGGACACCGGATCTGAAAACATGTATAGAGTTTTTACAAACGCTAATGATCTCGACAGGGACACCCTATGCCACAATTGTTTTCTAACTGGTGAAATCCCGGCAATAGGATTTTTTACATACTACGGCATAAAGTTACCGACTTGACAAAAGAGTTGGGAAGTGAAGATACGTTATTGGAAGGTATCCATGAAGGAAAGCAACAGAAGCAAGAAGAAGCAACAACTGAATGGTGATGTCATCTGCAAAGATCAATCGTCTAAAACAACACAGTCTAGCTTTTGAGACACCTGAGATATTGCTAGGACCCATGTTCTAACACATTGTGCTCTTTAATTGCAGGGATACTGGCCATTTTTGTAGATTCATTTGCTTTTCCAATTTGACAACAATGTTGCATATTGCCTCTTTATGTTTCAGGCATTTTGCCAGAAAAACATTACGCAGAATTTCTTCTCGAGTAGACCACTTGAAAATCATAGGTACCTCTCCTACTGTTTACACCAGCAACTTGTCTCTTTGTTGTTGACCACTCTGCCCTGTTAGGAGGGCCTGCCATTCATAAGTATAGACCTGTCCGCATTGGCTTTTAACGTCTCCATCACTCAGTGTGTCCCCCCAAAACAAACACTACACGACTTGTTTCAAAGCTTTCAGAGCTACTGAAGCAATTTTCCTGGCCCGTATCCGCTATCCACGGGAAAGGGTCTGGTGAGCTAGTTGTAAACAAAATGGAACAGGTGAGGGTAGACCTTTGAACAGGCAGTTGGGCCAAAAGTTGTTTTGAATCAATTTGTCATTCTTACCAAAAATCCAAGGGTTGAATTAGAAAATATCCGAGCCAATATCTCAATTACAGTAGCTGCCAGTCAATAAGAAGATCATATTTCAGAGTAGAGGTTATGATACATTTACCCTAATTTCATTATCTTAAATTTCAGGGTGCGCAAGGAGCCAAAGTATGTATTTGTTCAGCACAGAAGCCCTTTGACTAGCACTGACTATGAGACAGACTGACAGTACGTGTGATTGATGACGAGAAAATGAACACAGGCTACAGTAAACATGTGAGTTTGGTCACGTAGCACATGTATGAGGTGAATACTAGTTTGATGTGTTTGGTCTTCTGCTTCAAAATCCTCGCTACAGAACATTGAGAACAATAGTGGTCTGTTTGCCAGGCCTCTTTGATACAGGCCTCTCCAAACTGTAGTTAAAACTACATTATCCAGCGATGTACAGCATACTACTATGTGGGCCAGAAAGCCTTTTATATAGCCGTGGTTTATCTGATGCTGTAACATGGCATTACACTAAGTATCTCGTACCATCTTTATAATCTACTGTTCTGTCATCCCTGCAAACAAGGGATACCAACAAGTACATAGCCATGCAACTGTGAATAGAAATCCAAATGTTTACTTACTGTCCTATGACCACAATGATCTAGAGGCCTGAGTTCACTTGCTTCTAATTTTCCCATCCCTGCATAAACAACTTCTCTCCATGCACCTGTTGCGGATGTTCCTACCTTATGGACTGGCATGGGTGACGAGTTGGGCGACATGGCAGGCGACACGAGCGGCGACTCGCGCGGCGAGGACCTGGGAGTCAAGTTCAGACTCCTCCGGAAGGACGGAGGCGTCCACGTTTCCAGCATCTTCCTCATGGCTCCAGAACGAACTCTCTGTCCCTCACGCCACGGCCTGACCTCTCACCCTGAATTCGATACCCACTAGTGTCTGGTAAGTGGGGGACCCTCACGTACCCAGCCTGGTTAAAGCATGTACCAGTATGCCCTAATGGGTTTAAAGGTCTTGTCAGATCCCTGGCAGGCAAGGGGATAAAATTAGAATGTCCCTATAGGGTTCATGGCTTACAGAAGTGTAATCCGTTCCATTGGCTGGAATGTGTGCGCGTATTAACACGGCCAGAACAAGGTAGACAGAAAAGATGATGCAGTCAACAAGACTGTTCCATTTCTTTTGCAATGTAAGTACATTTACTAGGAAACATTTACTAGAATTTCAGACAGTGCCATGTTGTTTCAGTACAGACACTGTCAATGTCATCGCGTGATCTAGCACTTCAAGTGACCTGTGACCTATCTACATGTGTTTTAAGATTTTTCACGTAATAAAACACTGGTTACTTGAAATAGAACCTGCACACCCCCACATCCGTATAGTTGGAACATCCCAGACGTGACTTTTCTCTTTAATTGTAATGACTACATAACAACCAGTCAGGCTGAAGTTCACATGAACAGTAGGACTATGCCACAGGGCAAACAGTAGCATACAATGGACCTTGGTCAACTCTGTATATGCCAAGCCAAGTTGTCCTTTTAAATACTGCAACTGCCAAGTTGCAGTCAGGCGCACATGATGATGGGAGATTCGAATCTTGTATATTGAGAGTAGAAAGCCAAGCTGTGTCTCTAATGAGAGAGAATTATCTTGATGCAGATAACAAAGTGCGCTGCATGTGATTTTTAGCATGTCATTGAGATGCTGGCAATAACTGCAGACTTACATGTGCATACATGAAGGGATAATAGTTTGACTTACATATTCGTGTAGGGATAATTATTTTGTTCCTGACGATTTTGTTCTGTTGCCTAAATATATACCTAACAAGATTGTAGTCAACAACCATGTAAAATCATAAGTTTTGGAAGGACTACTAGTATCTAAAACCCCTCTGATTTCATATTCTTGTTATATATGTGCAAATCTTAGCTTGGGTTAAATAAGATGTAGACTCTGATATTTAAGCCATGTTATATTGACTAAAAAAACATGATGGAAAATTTACAAGGCGAAGCCACATGTTGAATCTGGGGCACTACAAGGAAAATATATCAAAGTGATCTTTGACTTGCCATTACTAAATATAGAATACCTCTGTTTGTCATAACTCTAAGGTCTAAGCTGGTGCCAGGTGCAACAAGCTTGTGACGTCCAATTAAGAATTCCACATTTAAAAGCCAATTACTTCACTTCTAGCAACATCCAACAACAAACTAGGCAGGCTGCTCTCTGTCAATCAACAATGATTCAGGTCTCTGGGACTATTAGGACATCTTGGGAGAGCTTTGAGCATGCAGACAAATTACCAAGACAGTAAGGGGTACATGTATTATGTAGGGTAACTACTTGGTAGTGGTAGTAAGCTGCAGTATGAAAACATGGTCACTAGGGGGCATCGCTTAACAGCAAAAACTGTCTGCAACTGTTGCAATGGACAAGAGACATGCAGCTATTTTGTGCACTCATCATTTGGCTTTCAACAGAAGAAATCATACAGCCCCATTGCCTCAAGTACATGTAGACTTTGAAATGAAGATATTAATACTAGTACTAAATTATAATACATGTGTAATTAGTCACCTCTCTTTCAAAGACTCTCTTTCCAAAAATTTATTTTCTGACCTGCAAAGGGTAATTGTGCTAGTTTGGTGGAAAAGTTGCTATTCAACTGCACCACCAAACATCATTCTCCAGCTCCAGCCTAGGAAAATGCAATCAAGTTCCATCATTTGCTGACCAATCCCCGAAGTGTACCTCTGATAGGGTCAGTAACAGTAATCACTTTCTGCAGGCGCTGGAGCAAATTTCTATCAGCCAACAGACGTGTGGAGAATGTTGCGAACTACCCAAATATTGATTCGCTGTCCCAACACAAAATTTCTAAGAATTATTTGTTCCTCCATCCGTCCATCCATCCATCCATCCATGCATCCATCCATGCATCCATCCATGCATCCATCCATCCATCCATCCATCCATCCATCCATCCATCCATCCATCCATCCATCCATCCACACATCCATCCATCCACACATCCATCCACACATCCATCCATCCGTCCATCCATCCATCCATCCATCCATCCATCCATCCATCCATCCATCCATCCATCCATCCATCCATCCATCCACACATCCATCCATCCACATTCTATCCATGTATCTATTTAATAGTAGTATGTATGAATCCATCATTAGTAATCATCATAAAAAGAGATGCAATTTATCCTGTTATCAAGTAGCTACATGTATTAGTACTACATCTATTACCTTATCAAATTTCTATGTTATACATTAGAGTTGTTATCTACAGCCATCACTAATCTACTAGACACAACAATTGCGCAACACAACATCAGTTTCATGTGAATACGTATCAATGGCCCTGTGAAAAAGAGTTATCAGTCTGGGCATGCAAAATTAGAGGGTGATTAGTGTACTGACCTCTGCTAAATCATCCACATCATCTCCCTTGTCAGCATTCATCTTGGCTGGTGTAGACACGACTGGATCCTAGACCAGCGTTGGGACTGGATCCTAGATCAATGTCTGGACTGACTGGATCCTAGATCAGCATATCTGATCCTAGATCAGTGACTGGACCAGTGAAGACACTTGTAACTGGATCGATGTCTCTAGAGTAGTGAATCAAAGTCACAACCTGGATCCTAGATCAGCATCTGGAATAGCGCAGTCACTACCGTATGGTACCTGTATGCAGAATGTAAAAAGAATTATGTGCACATAAATCTCTATATATATAAGCTTGCACTAATCCATTGCCTCAGTGGTAATTCATCTCACATGGAAGAAAATAATTGCACCCAACGGATGCTTTTCCCCAAGTCACGACTCACGTGTATGTGTAACTACTGTAAAGACTTAATGTCTTTATAATTTATTACTTTTGTACATGTGCATACTACTGGAAATATGTATCAAAATCACTAGAAGTAGAGGTTAATTTGCACAGCTATATTGGAAACATTGGGGAAACCAAGGAAAGCATGTTTATATCACGTATCTATATACATGTATCTACTGTATATACATGTAAACACTGCCAGCAGTGAGAACCCAAAAAAGAATGACGTGTGACAGAAAATTTTTTAACCAAATTCCTTCAACCTTAAGACACAAAAATTGATTAAATCTTGGGCAAATTTTTTAATATATCCAACAGACCATCAACAACCACTCTCAACCCCATGATTTTCCTCTCAAAATGTGGGAAAATGCATTTTTTCAACCTTCAAAATTGAAAACTTTGACAGATCCCCCCTAGATTGCATGTGGAAAATATAACGAAACTCCAGAGAATTTCAATACCTCAGGTTGAGAATGTATTGGTCTGGCTGTCAAAGCTGGTATAACTCACACACGGAAGCGTGACATTCACATGACCATACAGGAATTATTTATTACAGCCTCTGAGTCTGAGAGTCTAAGTGGTATTTCCTTTTTAGGCCTTCTGGCAGCTAGGTAATCATAACTATTATTACACCATGAAAGGAATAGTGGATGGACTATTGTACATAGCACGTTACATAAAGAGATTATATACATACTGGTCCATTCAATAAGTATAATTGGTTTCATGTTTGTACGTGTAACAGCAGTCTCAGCGGCTTGAGAAAAACATGTTTTTGAAAAGCCCTGAAAGGAAATATTGTAATACGGTACTAGTATTATCTTGCTATAGACTTTAATCACAATGATGAAGCACTATGTACGTACTGCAGTCATGGCGCAGTGTAAAGTTTCCGAATTGGTTGCCATGTTCACTGTGACATCATGCCCAGACAATCAACTCATGATTCAATTCCCCTGCAGCCAAAATCTCAAGCGGAAAGAATGATTTTTAATGGTGCGATGTTCAATAACAGGAGAAGGGCATGTACATGTACGTACTTGGTGAAAATGTGTATGTCAATTGACTAAGGGGCACTTTAGACTGACGACGGTTCGATAGTCGTACAAATGTTTATCGTCAAGATGTTGCCGGCGACGGTATTTTACCACCGTCTAAAGGCGACGGTAATCCTCGAATAGTCGTCACTACCACCTCGGACCCTATCGTGCGATCCTTCAGCGGGGGGTCGGAGGAGGATTTTCCACCGTCTAAAGTGAACCGTCGCCGGCGAAGGAAGTGGGGGGTCATTGGCCTTATGCAAATAAGCCTGCAAGCGTTATTTCATGTCCTAGCACATCGCCCGTATCATTAAATGTCGTCAAACCAAAGACTTTATATCGTCATACGTGTCTAGTACAATCCCCTGCCACCAATCGCTACTTCTCCGGTACGAACCGATCCGCCGATCCACATTTCCCGGCCAATATAGCCAGGCCGACGGCAGCACCGAACGCCGGGTTCAAACCCGAAGTATTGCCCCGGTCGGTACATGTGCCATATACCCCTTCTTTGCTGGGCACAAACTCGGCGTCTCATCAACAGGACAACGAGTTAAAAGCAGAATAAAAACAATCTGCTGCAGCATGCCGAAAAAGGGGTTCTCTCGCCATTTTGAATTGGCGCGCGGCGTGCCATCCTGCGCTGCGGGTGCCCGCCACGCTTTCTGGTCATGTGTCTAAAGCCAGCCGTCGCCCACAACGATTGTCATGCGATCGTATACCGTCGTCAGTCTAAAGTCGGCCTAATATCATCATTGTTTAATATGATAAAAGGATTCTGGAAATTCTGTTTTAACATCTTTATGTACATGTAGGAAAAATTCTAACTTATTCAATTTAAAAAAGTTATTCTTATTGGCTGAGAAACAAGTTTGCAATTTTTTACTGCAAATAATATATATTTCATGAATATAACATGCTGTTCTCATAACAGGATGTGACATAGATGACACCTGTAGATAAGATATACATACAACAAAAAATTGTAAACATCCTGAAATGTTGTAATGTGAAGGTTTAAAATGACAGCCTGCAATTGAATATTTCACATGCCACCATTGAAATGACTGTTTGAATATGAAAAAAAAAAAATGATTAAAACTAGTGCTGCCATCCTTCTGACACCATGGTAGACAAGGCCTGGGGCAATTCCTAGAACACACCAGGAAAAGGGACAGACCAGAAAATAAAATAGGGGTTGTGTGAAAATGTTTGTAAAAATTTTCTTCTGAATCACATGTGAGTTACAATGTATCTTCTTTTATACATGAATAGGATAAAGTTTTAGACTTTGAAACCTACAATCTCCTTCAACGACTATCTCCAGACATGACAGTGACCTGACACTGGTGACTGGATCATCTTTTTTTTCTTTCTCTTAATCTGCTTTTGTTTGTAATCTATAGAAATTTTTTATCTCTAATATATTATTAGCATCAAAATGTCAAAACAAACATTAATTTTTCTAGGAATAGTATTGATCACATAGCACTTGGATCTAAGGTTAAAATTCGCATAACAGTCTCACATGGAAAACTAGCCAATTGACCACACCACATTATTACCATATGGCTAACACTAGTAACAGGGATCAGGACAGTAGTGTTATTTCTACCGTAGATCTACAGGTATGGGTATCTGTATCTGTATCTGTATAGCCGGTATAACCGCCTTTCGGCGTAACACACCAGCTTCGCAGGCACGCGGCGCGGCGGCAGCTGGCTATATTACACCGATCGACCTGTTACACCTAACCCTTGAACTTCTAGCTCTAGACATTGGTACCATTAAGTTGTCACTGAAAAATAGGGGAGCAAACATAGCCAAATTACATACATACACAACATTTCTGTAGCAAGTCTCCCACCTTCACCACAAAGGTGTTTTCTATCCAAGTCAACAGGACAGGTTGTTACTGTGAAATACAGTAGTGACCTCAGCATGGGCACAGTGCCAACTTGGCAGTCAAACCTGCAGGGCTTGAAATACTGGGAGCATATTCACCTTACTCCTTAGTAAGTTACTTAGTCAGTTAGTGCACCCAAGTTTGGAGCTGTGCACACATTTTTTTTCTGTGCACCAGTGCACCCAAATATTTTCATTGGTTTACATATGAAAAGAATTTACTGTCTTATACAGCATACAAGTGTCAGAAAGATTTTCTTTAGAAATGAAACATAATTAGTTTTTGCTGACATTCTACTTGTTTTATCTTATAATAAGTTATATGGTGCACTCCAAAAATTTTTTGTGCGACTAATTTTTTAGGTTGGGTGCACCTATTCCCAAAAATGAGTTTCAAGCCCTGAACCTAGGTCCATACAAATTGGATAGACTGGAAATGTTGAATAGTGAACAAAGTCCATGTGTTTTATACAGTACAAGGCCAGTTGCACAGCTTGGCTCAGAGTAGTGCCGGTGGCACAATTTTTGGACAAAGCTATTTCTTGGGATGTTTATTGTGAAAGATTAGCATTGTTCCAGAAATAACAAATTTGTGAAGTTATGGTATGGTAATTAAGGTAATAATGATACAACTGAATGTGCTTTATGGATAGCCTCTACCAGGCACCGCGGATCGCTGGAAAAATAGTAGAAATTGGCCGAAATAAAGGGATAGTATACCAGAGAAGATCCAGGGCCATAGAAGCTCCTAATTTGCGACCCACGGATATCGTTTGAAGCTTGCGACTCCGCACAGGCTCCGTGGGTCGCAAATTAGAGCTTCTATGGCCCTGGATCTTCTCTGGTATACTATCCCTTTATTTCGGCCAATTTCTACTATTTTTCCAGCGATCCGCGGTGCCTGGTAGAGGCTACTCTATGGAGGGAACTGTATAACGTTATATGTGTAAAGATATGAATTTGGGTCAATGTCAACCTGTCCTCTTATCCCCCATTTTTCTGTGCAGAGTTCCTATCAAATTACTAGTAGCATCTGTCCTTTTTTTTTAAAGTTTTTTTTGGATGACACAAAAATCATCTAACTTTCCCAAGCTGGAATTTTGTGAATATTGACTAAAATAACATTCTGGCATCTCCAAATTTTTTTATTTCTATAATTAACCCATTGATAAACCCTGACAGACCTTGGTGATATTCCAATTAAAACATTTTAGTCACGAAGTTGTTCTTGTACCAACAAATGCACTTGTTACTAATCAAAGGAATTTCTAACTGCAGGAGCAAATTTTCTCCTGACATCTTTCAGATTAACAAAGTCCTTGCCATGTGATTGATGATGTGAAGTTTTTATTGTACCACCTGTTGAAAAGTTACTTATTACCTGTAAAATACATTCTGGTAGCTCCTTATGGACCATCTCGGTCACTGACTTCTGTAAACTTTAACATGCAAGTGAAATGTGTTGTGATCATGAATAAATTCGTTGATATCAACAATCTCAACCCTTGAGCAATTTTGTTGTTGTTGTCCCTGCTTTAAACTTTAGTGTCTATTCTCTTCCTAGACATCATCCTTAGGTCCTGGATTTCACTTGGTTCAAGTTTATGTCAATGAAAATTTCATATTTCTTGCATCTAAATCGCTTGAAGTCCTTTATATTTAATAGACATACCCGCCCCTCCACTAATGAATTGGTTTCTTCCGTAGACTTGCGATAAACAATAATAAATCATAGTCTGGTTGTTGTTTTTCTTTCTAACGGTTGCGTAGATATGCCAAACACATTACGGAAAAGCCATACCACATCTAGGCCAACAACGTATAACAACAATCAATCAATCCATCAACAACAACAATAAACACAAACATATCAGCTGTATAATTTGGATTACGTGCCCTTGCCCACGTGGAGATTTCTTGTCATCGCCAAATATAGGATCGTCAAAAAAGGGCGGGAAAATGTGAAAATGGAAAAGCTCGTTTACATCCACCGATTGATTAGGAATAACTTACATATTTTGCCTCGTTTCTCACCCTTCTCTAAAATCATACCACTTAGAAAGTCTCGTTTGAACCCTAGAACCTCCTAATGTTTTGCGCAACTAAACGTTAGTAAAAAGGTTTCATTTTCAAGAAAATCATTACATAACATTCTAATTCATCTAGACCAATAAAAATATGATTATCATACGTATGCTACTAACCTGGCCTATCCCTCGGAGAGATATCAGATGTTATATCAACGCAAAAGATAACGGTTCCAAGAAATGAGCAAAAGTCAGCTGAACCGCCCTGTGGTCACGTTGCGAATGGCTGACTGTTTGTGAAACTTATTGGGAGCGCCCTCTGTTCTGCTCAGATGTGCCTGACTAGAATTCTATCGTAGTTTGTTCAGAATACGCAAAGTCCATATCATATTAACGTCATTTACAACATATAACCTTTTTGAAAGGTACTAAAATATAGAACTTTTCATTTGAAAAAAAAATCATGTTTTTATATGCGACTAAGATCAGGCATTCAGCTGAAATGACAACTAGCCAGCTCAAATTTGATGATACAAAGGCGCCGACTATCAATTAAAAACAGTATTGCATGACGCAATTGATAACTATCACATTGTGACGTGGGGGTCTACAGTATTTTATTGCATAATGTTTGAACACGTGCGGGCTATTAAGGCCAGTACCAGTATATTTCAGAGGCCGTCAGCCAGGCCGCTTTACTAAAGCTCATAAAAATTGTAGCTTTGTACAAGGAGCTTGGTTTGTAGGAAAAAAATGAAGGCATTTTCAGAAGATGTGTATAATGTCCTTGGTAATACCAAAGACGATACAGAAAATTCCAGAAGATCTTCCCGGCAAAAAGCCCGCATGTAACCACTTCGGTAAAAAAATGCAATGCATGACGCAATTGATAATTATCAAATTGTGGCGTAGGTACTAGGAGGTACACAGTACCAGTATGATCTAGTATATATGGATTGAATACAGCTTGGCCACGTAAAAGACACCTGGTATTTTCGACAGCTGAATAAAATGTTTTGCTTTTGCATTTTTTTTAACTGTTACTTTTTCAACTTTGCAGCATCTTTCATGGGCTTTATCTGATTTTGGCCGGACAATTTAAGTCTATTTTAGGGAGCGAATTCTACAAGGACTTAGATTTTGGCCGTCAACGGTCTTTATGGTCACCAGTCATGAACGCTATCTTGCGGCTAAATAGAAAACTGCACCCTACACATCCTCTGACACGGGATGCCTGTCAAGACAAAACGGTTCAGGCTCACATGTCAGGACTGCAGATGGGTTTACGTAAACAATAACACACCAGAAAGATGATCCAGACGTTTGAATGACAGCAACATAGTGGTCTGGTGTCCAGTACAGGTCTGTTTGTGGATGGCGGACGGGGAATTGAGGTGTCAAATTGCATTAACGTTAACTTTCCTCCTTGAATTCCTACCTGCCATCAAAGTGCCATGCCAACGCTACAGTACATCATCAGTTTATCCTGATTTATTATTGATCATTATTCATGGTTGAAGAAAGGCTGAAACTGTGGAAGCACTACTAGTACTAGTATATAAACGTAAGGAGGTTTAAACTTTTTAACCTCCTTGATAAACGTTAGTACATTTGTACTAGGAGGTTCTAAGGAAGACTAATAGTATCACAACTAATAGATTTATTTCTTAAAAAAAAACTGGTACCTATCACATCTGTCACTGATAGGTGATGACATCAGACTGTGGCCAATGACAGAACACTGAACAGTTTCATATTAATCATGGGTGTTGTTACATTTGTCCTTCAGAATGTCACACTGGATGTAATGTTCCAACCGTTGAACAAACTGTCACATTTAAATAGTCCATATATAACCTATGGTGACTTAGTCAATGATCATCAGGCATTTATTTACTTTTTAACTGGCACAATCTCATTTAGTTTTCTGCGAGGTTGGTAAATTGTGTCACCAGACCAATTTGGTTATTTATTAACCAGAGGAGACCCAGCCATATTTAGATGTCCCTGGTGAAACTAGGTGGAGTAGTCACAGGGTTGACCCTCTAACGTTAAATGCAACATGGTGACGCATTATTGGGGTGACTTTGACATTCAAGTTATGCTCCTTATAACACATCATGTGCCTATGAACCGGAAGGATGGAACATGTCCATCATAATATTTTTGTAACATGATCAGGATCAATTTCCATTTTAAAAACATAAGTACCAAAATATCTGAATGAAAGACTACTATCTGTTACATTGTGCTCATCAACAGTTCAAGGGCACAAACACACATGCAAACACAAATATGCTCAAACACACAAATACATGAGACATATGCTGGGTCCCAGATGCATTTTATTACACATTGAACATCTGACAACCATAAAAAGAAAACATCTAACAGCAAAGTTAAAACAAATTTGCTTAGACTCTACTTAAAATGACTGATCACCTAAAAATGAAAAAAGATCTACATTATTACTTTAGTAGTTATTTGGTACAAACTAGTTTGGTCACAAATATACACCTTGCTATAATAATATCTATGATCAGATATCTTTACTAAGCATTAAATAAAGAGAAGAAACAAAACAAAACAAAACAAAGCTTAACTCACTCACACCTCTTTGATCTCCTGATTGTTCAGTAAATCTATATGTACAGCTAGTTTTCAGAAGGTATCTTGTTGTTCCATAGGTGTGTTTACTAACAGTAACTACTGGTTTGTATATTCAATTGCTAAAAGCATATTGATTCACATTTGTATCCTTTAGAGCTGTATCACATTTAGTTTACAAGTTATTTCTTCATATGAATAGACATGTTGGTCAATATAACTCATCTGGATGAAGGCAGCTGTATTTTTCTTTACTACAAGTCCATGAAATAATTGGCTCTTTATGGTTACCGGTAAATCATGCAACATTGAGGAGGTATACTAGTAATTGTCCCGATCTTGAAGGTGCTGATATGTTCCGAGATGAGCTAGAATATTTGAAAACCATCCATTTATATGTTTGTTCAATTACATAGCAACACTGACATGGAAATTACATTTGTTTGTCTGACATATCCAAAATTAATACTGCCACAGTTAACACAATTAAGCAGGCCTACGGGAATGCATAGCATATGGGGATGCAAACAACCTTCATGCAGGCCAGTTATGCTCTTTTGCTATTTACCTCTTCAAAAGACTGATGTATACCCTACTATCTCCCTACACTGAAACCATCAACCCATCACTGCTATGGTTTTGCAACAGAGTCCATTTTTCCACTTGATCCTTGAGATTTTCATTGCCATGAATTAGAAGTCCTGCAGTGCCAGTACAGTTGGCTAGATGGCGCTTATACCGTGTAGGCAGGCAGCACACCCATGTTCTTCCTGAGCTGCTCAAAGAAGATAAAGGTGAGGATGGTGTGAGGGCCGAGACGCACGAACGCTGGAACAAACCCCTTGAAGAACCCAAATGGACCAACTTTTCCGATGTCTATTGCGCAGGACAAAATACTCGAGTACTGCCCCGGTGCTGCGTTCATCAATCGTGTCTTCATCACGTCCGCCGGTTGTGTCATGGCCGTCGCTACGCCACCAGCGAGGAAGCTTGCGGTGAAGTGGGTGACGATGTTGTCGTTAAAAAAGCTCGTGGACAGGAGCGTCTGTTTGAACTGGTCGTAGAACGCGATCTGTCCCACCGTCACCAGAATCGCCCTGGACGACGCCATCGTCACGCCCGAGAACAAACCCTTCACGCCCTCCTCCGCCACCACGCACCTCCACCCGTGGAACACGTGCCGGTAGTTCCGCCTCAACTCCGCCGGCAGCTTCATATCGTTCTGCATCCTCACGTTCACCATGTCCGCCGGCGTACCCACAATCCCGCCACAGAACCCTCCCAGCGAGGCCAGCATCACCTTCTGGTGGAAGGGCAGATTCGCGCCACCCGAATGTTCTGCTAGCTTCTTCTTCGCCGTCTCGTAGATGGCAAACCTGGTCATGGAGTAGGTCAGCTGTCGCATGACCGACGCTGTGATCCCGTTGTACAACCCTACAATGCCATCCGCCTTCACAACCTTCACACCCATTTGCAACAACCCAAACTCTTTCTTCTGTTGAGTTTGCAGGTGGACTTTGAGCAGGTCTAGTGGGTGGGTACAGCAGGCGGCCATGGCTGATGCCACGCCCCCAAAATACCATCTTCCGATCTTCTTAGCTTTCAGTTCTTCACTGTCCGCAAATCCCAGGAACGTCATGGTGGAGACTAAGGTAAACAGATGAGCAAACTGTACACAAGTCTCTTGTTTGTTTCAACGTTTGAATAAATAGTCTTACAAGTCAGGCTGACAGCACATCCAGTCCAGTTCAAGCAAGCGGGCGCTGGAAAAGTCACGACCTCCCTGGCGTGGCGTGGTGACGTACGTGTAAGAGCTCCGTTCAACTTGTGATTTTTGACAAAAAAGCTGCAATCATTGTGAGTCAGCAAACAATAAGGTACACCGGGCTGCTACGTTTCCATGGATCCGATCGACTTCAGTACAGCTAAACAAAGACGTCCCGAGGGTATAATCATCTGTTCACGCACGATCACATGTCACATGGCCATCATTACGTACAAATCCTGGCAGGAAGCTGGCTGATGATTTGAATGGTGGGGAGGGGGGCGGTGACCTGTGACGTGGCGTGGCCAAAAGCAAGCGTCCTACCATCGGGTACAAACTGGGCAGCACTGAGCAGCCAGGCGCGCCTGCAGACGCCGAAAAGCTGAACATGCAATGTCTGCAACAAAAACGACCTTTGAGCGAAGCCGCACGTGACCTACGTGACGTACCCAGCTGACGTGCAGGTTGTGAGAGACAAACAACTTCGTAAACAAGATGGCGGATGAACTCTGGTGACCCCACGAGGGGCGTTTCCCGCGCGATTTGCCAAATAAGGAAATTCTGGGAGGTTGGTTACAGTTACTCCGCTCTCATTGGTCGATCATTACGAGGCCAAGACCAGCCCCCAAGGGAGCCCCCAACAAAGATGGCCGCTGAATACGAACGGTGAGTGGTGCGTCGTATCTTTCTTTTGGGTTTAGCTCCGTTTCGGGGTAGTTTTCGCGGGTAATACCTACCAACAGCTATATCCTAAACTGTCGGCTATTACTGGGAGCAACAGTAGAGCCTCAAGTCATTTTAGTAGAATGCTACAGGAGGAAAGAGTTCCGAGATACGTGGCTAGTTTTGGCAACGGTGCTCGGGTGGTATACGCGGTGTACGTGAGCTCAGCTAACTTCTCGTTTCATAATAGTTTATGTAGTTAACGTATTTTTGTTGTTTACAAGCTAAAGAAAGCCTCAAATGGGAATCCCCGTGGCGCAATAGCTTTACCCTGTCTCCAGCAGTAGACGCTTACGTAACGGGGTGACCCGGTGTTCGTGGAAACTTCCAGTTTTGGTGCAGCTCTGACGTACATGACTGGATCAAATATCCCGCTTGTTTTAGACATCAGCACAGTTTGCTGCCAACTTTGTGTTAAACATAACTCTAGAGAAACCTTTAAATACATGTCGACACTGCAGCGCAAATGAAGCAATGTTTGGCCGCTTTAAGCCAGATCTCTTGTTGATCTAGTTAGGGGGTGGCACCGCTGAACAAACGTTCACCCGGCTTTTTACGGTCGAGTGCTGTTCTAGATAGACTTTTGTGTAAATACATGTTTGCTCTGCTGCACACAGTCAATACGGCGTTTTCTTCAGGTAAGACCACTGTACCATGGTGTAGAAAGAAGTTGTGTTAAGTCATTGCCACCTCGCATTCTCAGACTGGGATTGAAAATCAAAATCAGGAAATTTAATTACCTGTCATTAGATTTATGGCTCACCATTCTAGTCATAAGAGGGGGTTATTATTATGCTTGGATGAGTATTGTCAAGTCAGGATGACTGCTTCTGTGGTTATACAGGTTTGTAACATGATCCAACTCACCTTGGAGCTGTAACCTTTAACATGTCATCGCTCGCTAGAACAACTTGTTCAAGTCATAATTATCATGTGACTGTCGGAAAGACAATGTTATGGTAAATACAATGTACCATCAACACAGAGATAAAGCCACTATTGTATTGAGAAGATAACCCAGTATAAAAGTTCAGTCATAAAAACTACTCTTATGACAGGTGTCCTACCTCCTAAATCTTGTTGCTGTGTGTGGGGTGTATCATGTATGTGCTCATGGCACCTTCTGTTAGTACCAGTCATTTCCTGCAGGATGTGAGGCAAATGTGAGGCAAATGGATGCTTGCTACAATGTTACGTTAGGTGCTGTAGTCCAGTTTATGACACCTAGATGCAGTGCAGACGTGCCTTTCAAGTACCAGTACTTGTATGGGCATGTTTTGGTGTGTTGAGGTGTGGCGGATGTATGACACCATAAAAAGAGGAACTTTGAGTAATCCTTGCCCAAACTTGAAAGGACAAGTGACAGATTTCCAGCTGTGAGGCTAATTATCATGAAAGATTTACTATATATGGTTGATACGAACATAGTGCTAGTTGCTCCAGACTTTGTAACACTCACGGTGCCTCAGGTGGTTAGTGAAATGTTTCCCCAGATTTCAGTGAAGACTCATTGTGATGATCAGTTTGCTAACTTTTTGGAGAGCCAATAACAGATTTGAAATATGGGAACGCATTTTGTATTTCAAAGTTTGATCTTGTTTGTTTAGTTGTCTTTACCATTGGACACAGTGAAGGTGGAGACAAAGTATGCGATATAAATCACCTTGTAAGTTGTAACAGTTATTTTGAGTTTTTTGTGGTTATGTTGACTCGTAACTAGTAATACCAGAAACCCTGCCAGACAAAAGTGGACTCCCCACATATCACAACAGCTGACCTGTAATAATAAGACAGGGACTGAGGGAAATTATGGCGCCAGGTGCCGTCTGGCACAGACTGCCTGCCTATAATATATCTACTTGTCGTACCAGTATCTAGGGTAAACTTTTCTGGGTTACCGTTTCTTTGTGACTCTTCGTATTTGTGGGAGGGATGGACCAAAACTCAGGTATAGTCAATGTACATGTATACATGTATTTTATTTGTATGTCTCTTGGTTTTAACCTGGAGAGAGGATGTAGGACTCGGGAGCTATTATAGGTTTGGTAACCAGACTGTCTTGGTTTTTTTATCTCTTATAGTATCTTATAGAAGTAGCTTGTTGACCTGTAGATAAGTAGGTATAATTGGCAACTTGCATGTCTGCAGCAGAAGAAATGGCTGTCTGAACTTTGAAATAAAACAGGGTGTTAAAACCTGTCTGGAAAAAAAAATGTACACAGTTGTTTAAAATCATTCTTTTTGGTGTAAGTGAAAGTGAAATGTATGTTGGGTCTGCTAGGAGTCCTCGCTTTGTTTAGTGTAAACATGAAGTGGAATGTTTAATATTTAGTATCCTGTCTATAGTCTATACTCTATAGTCTAACTCATGTCTAGGCATGTTTAGTTCTAGTCACAGCCAACTGTCGCTACCCTGTCACATCTGTAGGATTGGAGGAACCTAAAACAAACTTCACTTGTTTTCAGGCTAGCCTGACCTATATCGGCACCTATATCTATACATTTACAGGCTTATGTGCTCTACCAAGGACGCCCTTGGCTCCACTAATCAATGGATGCCAGTTAATCCCCAGGCCTGTGTGCACAAATCCCCCTCTTACCAGCCTTTCAAACTAATCAAAGGTATTATGATTGAATGCTGCAAGGGAAGCAATCTTTTACTTTGCTCCCAAAGCATATTCTAGTCTTTGTCACTTTTGTGTATGTTTCTTCAAAACCATTTTATTGTCAATGCTTGCAAACCAGTGTGCCTTTTGAATGCCACTTTTTATCAGACAAATTGCATCATTTCTTATCAGACACTGCATCTATACCTTCAGGGGTATCTTGTCTCTATAGAACCAAGATATGTCCAGACAGTAGTTTGACCTCTATCAGTCTGATAGGATATAATTGCGTTACTAAACATGTTCCAGCTTTCATGTTCATACTTTCCTGATGGAAAACACATGTAGATTGCTCAAGTGTCTCACTGGTTCTGATTCCTTGTGAATGTCAGATTAACACCTGGGGTCTGGACCTTTGGTTAGAGTTGCCATGGTAGCTGTAGGTGTTATATGGTGCTGGTAACCTCTGTAAGGTCAACTTCAGTTGCATGGAGGGAGGTTCTGATTGAAACGTCTTGGTTCATGTAGTTCTCAGCATAGGTTACGGACCTGACATTTGATATTCTTCACTTCTCTGTGATATCTTGCAATTGGTTACTCTAATGATATACAGTACTGAGAAAATATTTTTTTGGGGGAAAATCCTGATATAATGCACAAATAGACAATACGAATAGACGAAGATACGAATCCTAGAATTTCTTCAAATATTCTTCAACAGTATCCTATTGAATAGCTTCTGTTGCTTTGTGAAGTATAGCCTGGGTGTAAAACCCATAGCAAAGATACTTTAAAGTTTAATTTGTGTCCAGTGTGCTATGAGTTTGGCACCCAGGCTAAGTGAAGTATAATACATATGTATCTTGAATTTTAATCAGTATGGCTGCTTCATGATCACCGTGACTCTCATTTTGTTGAAGAAGTACTAGTATTATACCACAGTTCAAGAGGATGAAAGCTTTTTGTCACCCTCAGCAATATGCCTGAAAATCAGCTCAGAAAACACAGCCAAAACTGTTCACACAGCCAGCTCTTTATCATTGTGCTATCACAGGTTTCTATGTACCTATTGATAGCATGTTTACTCTTCCTCTTGTCTGTCTCATGCAACATGCATCATTATTGGACATCCGTTTACATGTGTCTGTTCTGTCTGCATGCTCAATACATCTGCTACAATTTGTTTGATACAGTGCTGTAAATGCTGAAAAGAGCTATTGATAATTCTAACTGCCTAATTATCATGTCTGTCTGTCCTTGAAAGGTTTACAACAATTTAATCAGACCTTGTAATCTGTGAATGGTCAATGACAATGATAATTAGACACACAGCGCAATGGCTCCTGGGGCAAGGTTGTTTCTGACATCAGGAGAACAGAACATGTACGTACATGTACACAGACAATGTGAATTGGATCACTCACAGTTGCAGAATTGTATGTACTGACTCCTGACATTATTAAGGCCACACTGACTTAATTCTACCGATGACATCCTCTGAAGACCCCCAAGCTAGTGCGTGCGGGCGAATAAAAATAATCTGGCCAAAAAAAAATGCTGCTAAACCACAGGAATACAAAGTTGGTATTGTGAATTTGTGCTAGTACATAGCGACTTTTAGGACAAGCCGGCACATGCTGGCCTTTTGCGACATTTATGAGTCAGCACTGTACTGATTTCTTTAGTTGTGGAGCTTCGGCAGCCTGGATGCCATCCTCTGTAGTTACCGCCGGCTCCCTAATGTCGCTAGCTACCATGGACTATGAAGGATGGCACCCAGGCCAGAGCCCCGGACTCGGAGTTGGAGTAGGTAATTTTTTTGAAAACAGGTGAAATCAATGTGCACGTGGATTTGATCCATAAAATCAAATCAGTGTGTGGCCTAAGGGTAAGACCAAGACCCGGTTTACACGACGACAAAAACCTGGGGTACGATAATGGCGTACGCACGCGATCGTACGACAATTGCGTACGACCATTTTTCCAGCGTGTAAACCGGCCCCACCTATCGTACGCACCTATCGTACGCAATTTGCGTACGCCACCTCGAAGGCAGGCGTACGATCGTGTACGATCGCCCAGCGGGGAGTCAGGATGCTTCCCCGCCTCGTGTAAACGCGACTGATCGTACGAACGGCGTTCGCAAGCACTTCCCTGTTGCAGGAGGTCAGGGGTCATATGCAAATTCCATTCTTCTTCCCGCGCCTGTGAAAACCCACGCCGTGTTACTGATCTTTACTCTGTTTTCTCTGATCCGTTTCGGTTTTCCTTTTGTTTTTTTATCGTATTTGATTTGTTTGTTGTTTTGCTGAGCCTGTTTGCTCGCGACTGCCGCAACTGACCATGACAGAAATGCGCAATAGCTCTAACTGTCACGTTCCCACACTGACCGATCGATCCCGCCTTGAGCTTGAATGATTGCAATGACTGCAAAAATTGCTGCCCGTTGGATCTCATGGTACCGCTCCCTGCGACGTCCAACCCTTCTTCTACGCAATGCCCGGCGACGCAAGTACATCCGCGAAAAGAAGAATAGCAACATCTGACGCATGAAGAACAGAAAAAGAGCCTGTTCTCCCGCCATTTTGAAAATAGCGCTATGTCAAAGCTCGCGGCGGGTCAAATGGGGTCACGATAGTGTGGAGCGCTACGGGAGTCCCGGCGCTGTCCGTCCCGCTCCGTGTAAACCGAAACGGACGTACGATCGCGTGCGTACGCCATTATCGTACGCCAGGTTTTTGTCGTCGTGTAAACCGGGTCCAAGTACTCCAGGAGAAGATGAAAAAGTAACTGCTATTATTAAATGCACAAAAACACAGTTGGGGGTACCTAATAATTGTTTCAGTAAAATGTCATTGAACCCTTAGCCTGGGTGCCAAACCCATAGCACACTGGACACAAAGTAGCTCACTGAGATACATGTACTTCGTGTCCAGTGTGCTATGGGTTTGGCATCCAGGCTATTGAACCCTTTCAAGGTGTTAATATTTATGTCCTACCGGTTACAGACATTGCCTCCAGGTATAAGAGGTAAATCACCCAGTGAAAGAGTTGCTAGTCTAGTAATTATTACAGTTACAGTATACATATCTTAATCCCCACCATCTGGCAACCCACAGGAATATGTACAAATCTGCAAGGTGCCTTGAGTTACACACTTTTACTTTATCTGGATGAATAACATACATGTTGAACGTATTCAGCGGGGTTCAAGTGTCTCCAACTGACCAGTCCAATGGGTCTGGTGGTAAGTGCGTTGGCCTAGTGGTTAGCGCGTTGGGTTTGTGAGCCGGTTGGTACATTTTCGGTGTGGGGTGAAATATGTTTCCACTCGCCCCTATTCTGAAGTACAATGTATAATTTTGGTGACATTACTTGAATTTTTGCTGACCTTAGCATTGTGTTATATTGTTCTGACAAACATTATGCTACTCCTAAGTATGAATTAATCTTTCTATGTATGTATTAAATGGACCTTTACACCTGTTCAGTGAAAGTTTCAGACAGGGGACCAAGATTCCCCAGTGACCCCTCCACCACCCTGTGCCAGTGATTTATCCCCAGCCTGCACATAAATCAGTCCTCCATGGCTAGTTTCACCCCAGTTTTACCCAGCCAGGAGGGCCAGTTGGCTGTAAATATCCCTGTCCTGGACACAGAGGTCAAAGGGTCACTGGAGGGACATCTCTCATGGCCCCTTGAGCTGACCTGTGGATGACACTGGACTGTAAAGCTGGCCTAAATGTCTTGGAACATGCCAGTTTTGGTAAACCAAGCAATGTGGAGGGATCTAACACCAATACCCAAAAACCGTGCAGGTAGATAACAGGTTATGGAATGTTGGGATCGTTGAATATGTCGGAAGGAGTCTTTGTATTGATTAGTGTGCAGCTGTTTGCCAAAGATGTATAGCACTAGCTGGTGGAATGTCTGTAATAAATGGAGTACAAGCTGTGCTATTGATTCATGTTATCAAGAGAGTTCTCTTTCCTACTTCTGCACAACAACATGCCAATTACATAACTCACTAGTATTGCACGCTAAAGGTTGTAGAATTGATGACTACAGGTCTGCAAAAACTTGCCAGGTGGGCATTTCCACATGTATAGATGTAACCATATCATGGTCTGCTAAGATTTATTGTTGTGTGCTATTTTCAGTTTTGGAGTGCCTAATATGAACATCCCTGCCAATCAGGTACTGTATTCCTCAGCATTTTTGAAAAGCCGAAGTTCCCACAGATTTGTCAACTGCTGGCAAACTAAAGAACATGTAGTGTATGATGTACATTATGTCCTATTGTTACTAGTGCTTTAATTCTTTGGGAAAACCAAGCTTACTACTAAGGACAAAGATAGAAGAAATGTTACCAAATAATGAGGCAGATGTGCTAAATGCTGCTTTATAAAAGATCATATCTAACATGCAAATTTCAACCCAGTGATGAAACCTAAAATCTGTTTTGTCAAAATCAAAATTAATTCATTTGCTCACTCAGCCATTCTATCAGCCCATAGTCATCAGCATTGACAGTTTGTCAGTGATTGATTTAAAACTAAGATGTTGTTGCTGTTCTGTGTCAGACATAACTAACCTCCGTGTCAGCTTTGTGGCCTCAAGAGTTCCAGATATTTTGAGAATCCAAGGCAAGCAGTGGGCTATTTGTCACCCAAGAATGATACATTGTAGGTGAACACATCTTTCTTGGTTGTACGTTGTTAATCCTTCACTCTTTATTCAATTTGTTATTATAATAAGAACTTAAAATATCTGCCCAATGTTTCTCTATATCTTGTTTGTAATGAGTATAAATAAAGAAATAAATAACTATTTTGCCCCTCCCCCAAAACTGGATGGCCCCACTTTGCATTGCAAGCCGTCATGTTTTAGTCTAGAAAAGTGGCAATGGCAGAGCAAAATAATTGATTACTGTTATAAAATACTGTATTTCATTGTTACAAGCTCAATACCTGAAGTATTTAAAAAGTGTTAAAAGCTTTGTACCACTAGGTAAAATTATAACAGACTCAAAACAGTTGATAACACCAAGTAGTTTTATAACATGACACTACAAAGGTTAGAATATAACAGATTTACGGATTAAAATTCCCACCCGTAGACCTTCCTCTATGAACACTGTTATTTATTACGGCGCTCTAGGTGTCCTTGGCATTGATATATATAGTGTCTGGCAGAGGTTGGAAGAGCTGGTGTGCCCCAGGGCTAGGGGTAGGCAGCGTCTGGGTATCATATTTCAGTACAAACATTGCCCTAACCTTGCTCCACCATTGCTCGCAATTGGCAGGGCATATTTTGTCCGTTAAAAGCATCGTTTATAGCCAACTTCAAACAAAGTACAATGTATGCCTGTGAGTGTAAGTATGTACATTTTCGCCAATTAGTTGACTGGGGACTAGAATTTATATTGCACCTTAAAATGTTCAAGTTAAATGTAATACAGGATATGCAGCACTTGACTGTAAATATCTCTTTCTGTGTGTGAATAGTGATGTATTTGTATGGCAGACTAATAATAATCTTTTAGAGCATACAAAAGGGCCCGTAGAGTTGTAGACAATCAATATTCACTCATACATAGACATCTTTGTTTTCAAAATCCTAAGATAGAAACAATTCATTTTTCAAGATTGTTGGCAGTAAACTTGTCTCTGTCATGGTAACAATATGCAGGGTCCGGTTAGGGAAGGGGTGGTTTGCAGGCGTTGTCTTATTGGCAGTGTGGGGCTCTCCCATTGGTCACAGCTGCATGTATCCCATGCTACGTTTGGCTAAGGACTTTGCCCCTTTAATGTTGTCAGAATGTTTAACAAATTCCCTCAGCTGGATCTAGGCACATATCCTACTGCTTCTGGGGTGAGTTGGGGTGACATGAGGTAGAGTTGGAACGATTTAGCCAGGATTTTCAATGTAAGCCAGCTGTAAGAATGAGATAGACCTTGAACTAGAATATTATGACATATCATGTGTTTAAATGTTGTGTACGGGTATGTAAAATTGAACTCCTTCCAAGAAAAGCTATGCCATATGGTGCACTAGTTTGACAGGCCTCTGCATTTGTAAGCTGAGTCCATTTACTAGTCATATCATTACATTTCATAGATTATTTGTGTCATATTGAATTATATTGGACCTGCAAACCCTGTTGTCTGCGGCTTTACTAAGGAAGTGGCTGATTGTTTGGTCGTCCAGGCTGTATAGCGATTTAGTCAGGCTACAGGGGGCACAGGTAGGCTAGGATTTAGAGTCATCATAATTATTGGTAATCAAAATGTCTTAAATGTGTATTCTAATGTCTGTTATTATAGGATTTAAAACCATCACCATGCAATTGTAGCCATTTGCTTTGGCACAACATTTGTGTTGGGTGTAGGGTTTTAAGCCAGCAGTGAGAAGGTTAAGAAAACAAAGATGGCAAAAATATCTAAATTATATGGCAAAGAACGGTGAGACTACATGTAAGAAAAGACTGGAGCCAGTCAAGGGAGGGTTTCCGGTGTAGGAGAGATAACACCCTGGAATTATGATGATTATGATGAACATTTATGGATTATGATTAATGATGATCTCATTTTCTTCACAGGCTTCATTCTTCAACACCTTGCCCTTCATGGCATGACAACAACTAACTAGCAGAGGGGATTGCACCGAAGGGTAGATCACTGAGAGTGAGGTTTTTGTGAACTCTTTGACTTGAGGACAGTTATGGAGCTGGCACGTGGCTGCCTACAGTGCAGTACCTGATGGCCAGACGAGGACCTTTACGTTACTTCTTTTGTGGCTGTATCGCGACGTCGCTGACATGGGCAGTCATCTTGATGCTGTACTGGAATGGAGATGTACAGAGTGGGAACACAGCAGTGCCACAGGAGGGGAAGTCATATGGAGGGAGGTCAGTTCTTCTTGTCCCATATATTCTTTTCTAGAAATCATAGTTTTTATCACACAATGCAATTACACAATATATAAATTTCTAGGTAAGGAAGTATTGTTTTGGGTGGCTGAGATGTGGGTTTGTGTTTCTGTTTGCATGTCTGTAGTAGGTTGACAGCATGTGGGTGGGGAAGATTGACAAGCAGAATAACAGATGAAAAGTTCAGAGACAGGAAATGGGGGAACTTGAAGTTGAAGGTCACAAAAACCCTAAATACTTCTAGAGCATAGTTGAGAATTTTTATTTGAGGGATATCACATTCCAGTTGTAAACATATTTTGGGGTTGGAAAGATATTATAAGTAATGTAACCCTTACCTTCATTTTCTGTGCTCCCCCGACCCCAAACCACCCTACCTTTCATTTTGAAACTTTGCTCTCTTGAGTTTCAAACAGTCACGAGGAAACAGCCCTTTCTGTGACCCCTCTATCTTCTTCTTGCCTCCTGAAAGTGGCAATCTGTCTATTGATCCACAGATCCCCAGGGAAAGTAGTCAGCCCAGTGAGCAAAGATAGCAGCAGTCACCTTATCACACCCCCATGCACTTCACATTCACATCAGCACACTGCCTGCACCAGCTAATCATCTGCTCTGAAGTCAGGCTATTCACTGTCTTGTGAAAGGCACAGAATGTTAGCAACAGTGGGGACAAAAGAAGGGACAGGCAGCATACATGTAAGATGACATGCAGTTAAAAGTACATGTTGACAGATGGTTGAATTACTAGATATGCCACAGCATGGGGCAGGACCTTATGGGATGGCCCACATTCAACATATATGGGGAGGGGGGGTGAATGAAGAATTCAAGGTCAATAGGACAACTCACAGCACCATGTAGACATGTAGAGCCATACACATATCACCTGACTAAAGTGTCTGCTGTTCTTGATCCAATATTTTGTAAAAAAAAATAGATCAGGGAATTCAAAGGTGATAGCCATTACCATTTCATGGCACTGTTAGTGTTAGGGTGTAAAATACAACTGTAAAGTACTGAGCATTAAACCAACTCTAGGCTATAGGGAAAAGCTTTGAAGGCAGGCAGATAACAGCATGACAAGCTTTGTTGCTGTAAGATGGATGCAGCTGTAACACTTTGAATTTACTGACGCAGCAGTATCACAGCTTCAGGTAATCATGAGTGTCCTGGGGCTGTTATTTGCAGACAGTAAATGTACACATAGACGCAGTCTGTCTGGAAAAATCCAATTCCTCTTGCGTCAGCATCAAGCCCGCTGAGTGGAATTCAATCATGGGGAAGAAATGGAATGTTCAGATAAGTGTGTGTGTGCAGGTGTGCAGTATCTTTGTTAGAAAATTGGCTTTGGGCTATTCCAGAAAATGTGAGGGGCAAAAGATGGTTAAACAATCTCAGAATGCTACTAGTAAGAATTTTACTAATACTAATACTAATACGTTGATGAAGGTTAGACATCCAGGTAAACGATACTCGTAAGAAAATTCAAACTCTACTACTGGATCAGTTACGGATTTTTATTTCCGGACGTTTCGAGTGACATCCATCACTCTTCTTCAGCATCACAAATGAACAGAGAACCGATTCACTCTTATATACAAGTAACTAGAAAAACCGGTTAAACAACAAGGTCTGTAAGAAGCTTTATCATGTAAAAGAACGGTTCACGCAATATACAGGTAATTAGAACTACAAAAAACCTGTTCAACAACCGTAAGAGTCTTTGTCATGTAAGGAAGGTTCCTATGGTAGGAAATTACCATACGGAAAGTTACTGTCCCTTG